ACAGAGGAGGGGGCTGTGAATGTGTGAGAGAAAAGATGGAGAGGCAGAGAAAAGAGGAGAATCAGTCTGACAGCTCATGTGTTTGCCGCTTGCCAACCATTGTTAAGAGAGGATTTAGTCCGCAGTGTGAGAATTGAAGCACATAATTACTTTGCCAAGTACTGAACTGTGAGAACTATTAACCCGGAGGATTGTGCCGATCAGAGCGGCTGTGAGTGGCTCGTCCTCTGCGTGCCAGCCGCCAGCATCTGCTGTCGTGTATTAATAAGAGGGGATGTGCTCCTCTCAGCCTCTCTTTCTCCCACTCTGTCACAGATGAGTACAAGATGAAAGGAGTGGAGAAAGTTAAGTACATCAGTGGAGAAGAGGGCGGAGTGGACGGCCAGGACAGCACAGTGCGTGACTCTATTGTTCTCTTTGTATTCTAGTGTCTGTCTGTAAAGGGACATTTACTGCATATTATGATGGCTTCTGTTTGTAAAAATGGTCAATTTGTAATCAAAATGAGCCACGATGTAAACTTCTTATTCAGACACATTTGCATGCAGCGCCGTGCTGCAGCCATCTTCATCATGAGGAATCATTTTAACACAATAAAGCGGGAAGATAATGGAGTGTGTATTAATACCACACGTTTATTATGTGAAGTACTTTTACAGATAGATATTTTCTGATAACTCTTTTTTTTCAATTTGTTAATATAAGCAGCTCTGTATTAAATATTAGGGTTACAAAACAATGTAAGGTAATTGTAGAACTTTGTACTTAATTGAATATGGAGACATAAGACAACATTTTGATCAGATGGTTGATTGTGTGTGTGTTTGCTTGGATGTCCTGCAGGAGAAAAGTGCTCTCCTTGGTAAAGCTCAACACATGGATGAAACAGGGTCAAACGGAAATGGGAAGATTCTGTAAGTGCCGCTGACTGCTGATGCTGTTGTTGTTATTACAATATCATTAACCTTTATTTATATGTTGTGCAGTAGTCGTGTGTTTGTCTATTTTGTTCGAAACTCTGTGTGAAGTTATGCTGCCAGGCTCTAACCTGCTGAAACTTGTCCTTGCAGGAGCATCCACTCTTCTGAGAGTCAGCAGGAATTCTTCAGGATGTTGGATGAGAAAATTGAAAAAGTAAGGAAAGACAATCTGTCACTGGAGCATCACTTTATGTTTTCACAAAAAGCTCTTGCTAAATGACATAATGGAGATTAATCCCTATCACCACAGCAAATCTGTAGCCAAGTGAGGACACAGCAGATGACATAATAAAACCTCAAAACAGCCTCAATCTGTCACGTCCAGTGCATTCCACTAGTGTGGTTATTTAAAGTAGTGTTGTTTATTACATGTTTTACTAACAGTGCCACAGTGTGACTCCATCTTTTCAAACTGAGGAGTGGTTTACTCGAGAATGAGTTTTATTGTTTTATTGTTTTATGGCGCATGAGGCAGTTAAGTCACATCACTTGTATCAAAGTATAAGGCTGGTATTATTCTGTATTTTTCTCATTGTCAACCAATGGCATGACAAACTGAATGAATTGATTCTACTTATAAGTGTATATAAAGCCTCATTTAGCTTATTCCTATGTAACATAAAGCTCTATTGTTCTCTATAAATTATTAAAAACACATATATGAGCCACTGTGGCACTGGGCGACATTTCCCATCATAAGCACAGGTGTAGCACATGTCCCACATACATACACTCACTGCACTGCTCACTGTGTATTTATCCGCCGCTAAAAATAGTCACTAAGAAATGCACTATTTACTCCTGCTTTAGAAACATTTGCTAAACAGTAGCCAGCTGTTAGGGAACCTTATCTAGTCTTTTTTTTTGTTAATATTTGTTAAATATAAATAAATGTCATTGCCAGTCTTTACTGCTTTGTCTGTGCCTGAAGTTTCCTACATGTCTCAGAAAACCTTTCAATAGCTCCTGGAGAAAATATTTTGCATTCAGTTTTGGGTGTGTGTGCACGCTTGAAGAAAGCAACGGTAAGGGTGACAGAGCCACATTTGTTAATTTAGATTAGTTCAAATGTCTTGTAGCTGTACTCAGCTGTGTTCTTTGAGGCTGTTTATGGTGAGTAATTTGCCTCTACCATGAATTTGTCCCTGTATAATTGTTCAACATCTGTGTAATGTAATGTGTCTACAAAGATCTTTTCTTTACAACAAAGGACCACAATAGAAATTAGTCTTAGACTTTAGTGTTTCATCACTGACAGTTAGGAGAGATTTTATAATGTTTATTAATCGGAGCTAAAATGATTTTATACTAAAATGTACTGTTGGAGGTTGTTGAGTCTCTTTATCCAATCAAACTTCCTGTGCTCTTAATATGTCAACACAATGTTGCCTTATCTGTCTTTTTATCCAGTAGGGTTGGTTGATATTTCAGAATTACCATCAACTTGCAGTGGATTGTTACAGTATTGTGATGATATGATCATATTTTTTCTTATCAAAACAAAATAGTTTATTAAAGGTCTGATGTTAAGCATAAGAAGTGGACCACTTCATTATTCCATTAATATCTTTCCAATATTAATAAATATTGTATATCAGTGCTCTCCCTGGTAAAGGTCAGAATATTATTGTGATACTAATTTTATTGAGCTATGCCTTAGGAATAAGAAATCAATCAAATCTACTTTCAAGGTCCAGTGTGTAACATTTAGGCCTTTTTTATTTCCAGAGGGAGCAGGTTCTTTCTACGGAGGCCTCCATGTTGAACCACTATGTTTCTACAGTAGCCTTGAACACACAAACCAAACACTGATTCTAGATTGGGGAGGGTGAAGCAAGGGGGTTGTAATCTGCAACGTCACCACAAGATGCCACTAAATCCTACACAGGGGTCCTTTAACATCTCTATGTTTTGTTCACAGGGCCGGGACTACTGCTCAGAGGAGGAAGATATGACATAGCACTGTGGTCACGTATCCATCAGTCCCAGTATGAAAGAACTGTCACTCCAGATGGACTGTACCATGTGTTACTATGCCTAGGGGGACTGTTCCTTGTATGTACTTGCCTGAGAAAAATGGATTGAATCAAGCACCTTCTTGCCCTCCTGCTCACAACCTTAGTTCCTGCTTATATATCAACCAAGAGAGAAATGACCACCAAAATGAAAGATGGTTCAGTATTTATCCATATTCAAGGTTTCCCAAAGGGAGAGAACATTTAGGTTTACTTCCTTAGTGGAGCCATTACAGGAGGACAGAGATCTTGGGATTTTAACTTGCTTTTTTTTTTTCCTGTTTGGGTAAGTCCTGAAAGTCCGATATACATGGCTGTTACTGAGACTTCCCGCAGACATTTGAAACATTCAGACGGCTGCAAATATAAATTTCTAACAGCAGATGGAACCAGTGCTCTTGTGGACACTCAAAGTGAAAATAACTCTCTAAAATAATCTCTATCTGCATCATTTTGAGTATTTCATCGTTGAATGCCTCCCTGAAAAGTCAAGGCGTTGGAAACTTCCTGCATTCCAAGACACAGTATGAACCTCTTTTCTACAGTACGTTGGTCAGTACAGTGTGTTTGTCTGTCCATGTCTGTTTCTGCTATGATGTAGAGTATTTATGTTGAATAAGGCTCAGGGTTGAAGTGTTAATCTCTGTCTCATGTGGTCCTTCCTCTCATTAAGACACTGTTGCACCATTAAAAAGACACTCATGCACTCACACAGCAGGGTTATTGATGTCCCCTGCTTCAGTATCTGTCCCATGTTAACCCTTCAGGGTTGGCAAAATCACATACAATATGATTATGTATTTTGCTCACCGGTGTTATGTTGTTGTGTTCGGTTTCTATGTTGATTCTTTTGTTTTTCTAGAAAAATAAAAAGTGTTTTCGGTAACTTATCCACACAGCTGACACTGTTGTGTTACTGTAAAGACACTGATACAACCAGTGGTGCAGCCGACAGAACAACCTGCCGGCCGATATGAGCAATGCTGGCCTATGTCATTCAGAAACAAGAAATTACCGTAGAGAAATACATATGACAGAGGTCATTTAGAAACAGTGTGGCTATTAACAGTTTGTCCACCAGAGAGCATTGATGTGTTTATTTTCCAACTGTTAAATAAACAGCTCAGTACACAATTAGTCACTGAAGCATCCAGCCTTACATGATGGTGCATTAATTGTGTGTTGAACTAAGATAAGAGCTGAACAGAAAAGTAAACAGAAGCAGCAAAATAAAAAGGGTGTTGACTCCTGCAATAAAACCTGGAACCTCTTCAAATCCTTAACATGGACTGAAGTAAAAAGAGCTGTTCCAGGTTGATTGTTTTTACAGTGTGATACCGGACCCAAAGATGGCACCTTTTCAGTCCAATAAGAATTGCTCGCCCTGCGTATACGACAGAAAAGTTTCTAGTTTCATGGTTTACTCCCTGGTCAATTGGCCCACTGAACATACAGTTTATGTTTATCCCACTGGCACTCAGCCCATAGACTTATTGTGATGACGTTGCGTATTTTTACACTTTTTTCACTTTTCTCAGCTCAAGGAAAGTTCACTAATATAAAACCTCAAAATAAATCATAACAGCAAGAGTTATAATTGACCTTGTTTGCAGTTTGAGGTGTCCCATCAGTGGTTTTACAGAAATCTCTTATAATGGTGGTCTATGGGGAAAATGCTTTTTGGCCAACGTGCAAATTGGAAGTAAGGCTAAGTGGCGGCACCGTATCTGTGTCTTATAATCCATCTATGATAAAAATAAACTTAAAGTTCTTGCAAACACACACATTCACTAAACATATATTGTTTCCACTTTCGACTGGAGCTAACTAACATTAAATTCTCCCTGTTAGCTTTATTCATTGATAATGTCGGTGAGTTAGTTTAATTTTCTGGTGTCTGGTGCAGCGTTTACCTTTCAATAACACAGATTTATGTTTGTCAAATAATTTCCTTTCAAAATAATTTTCTGTTGAGGAAATAAAATAAAAGGCAAAGAAACAAATGTAGGATTAAAGACAAACTTTACATTTAGCCTTAATATGCACAGACTAACAGTATAGGTGAGTCATTTACAGTCACAATTTTAGGGATCCTTATCAAAAATATTTGTTAATGTTATGTCTTTAAGATGAAAAAAAAATCTCACGATGATCACTTTTTTAAAACTTTCAAATATCAATATAGGTATCAGAAAGTCAGGCCCTAGTAGTAATGTACCCAAAATACTTTTTATTACACATCTCTGAGCACTTAGTCAACCTTGTTATGAGCAAGCGTAAAACAAACAGTGGCAGGCTTGGGGGAACAGGCCTGTGTTCTGTCAGTGTGTTTTCTCTTAAACTCTCCAATCTGAGGGGTCCCGAGACAGGAAGGATTTGGAAAGCAGGGAATAAATTATTTATACACAAAAATATCTCTTTATGTTGTTAATTACTGCATAATCTTAACTCGTCAGCTCATGTGAAAATTATTCAACACCAGTGAACTAGACTCCCTAGACTGGTTGATTGTAGCCAGAGGTTTCTTACTGAGAGCACCTCGAGCGGCACTGTGGCTTCGTCCATTTGCACCAGCTGCCATGTTGCCAGTACACCTTTGACTTTTTATCGGAGCGGCTTACACAGACAGACAGGCTTATCTTTGGTTCACAACAACACCATAGTGTCCTCTCACTCCAGCTGCTCAGTGCTGCTGCCGTCTCTTCCGATGCTGCCGGCGTCCCACATCCTGGAAGGGTCCCACAGGGGGGTCGGGTGTCACCAACCCATCAGTCATCCTCTGGTAGACCAGGGTGGAGTCAGAAGCTACAGCACACAACAGCATAGGAAAGCCTCTGTCCAGCACATGACGTATGCTGCACATCAAGAGAGGAGGAAGCTGTCAGTTTGGGAAATTTGGAAGACAACTTGTGGTGGTAAAATGTTTAAATCAAAAGGTTGATGGCCCTAAATTTGAGACCTTTTGTGGCTCAGAGAACGGTGAACAGGCAGCGGAAGAATTGTCTGGATGGGTCCTCCTTCCTTTTCCCTCCCTTCCAGTAAAACCACCTGCAGCTCAGGACTCTTGACACAGGACACTTCTTTCCACCGACGCACTGCGGAGAACAAGAAACACAGTGTAAGAGTGAGAAAGGCCTAACTAGTGGCTCCACTGAATAAACTCTTCATCCGTTTAGAACACGTGTTTATTGTTTTTCTCCGGCTGGCCTATTTTTGCACATTACTCTCCGTGTGCTAGACACAGATTAGAGGATTACAGGTTATGTAATTAATGTGCACTGATGAGTCAGAACTGTCAGGGTTCCCACTCTTATTAATAAACCATTTACCAGGACTTTTTCTTGACAATAAAAGGACAGCACCTGCTCACAAGCGGTCAGATAATTTACCAATAGGCCCAGTATTGACACATTTAACCCATGTTTTATTCCTCCCTTTTTAATTTCCAAGGGTTCATCTCAGGTTCATTAAAGGTGGGTGGTCAGTGTTTATGGGACACTCCACGTAAGCACACTGATGTGGTGCGTTTGGTTTTTCTCACCACAGTGGTCCCAGTGGCGTCGTTAACAATATTAATTTGGCCACAGCCCGTTAGTGACGATTCAAAATCAAGTAGAATTTATTTTATTTGAAAGAAAGTGAAATCTTTTAGAAAGTGAAAGTGTTTGCTGCACATACAATTGCAATGGTTGTGTATGTATTTATCAATTACAACAAATGTAAATTTGATCATTAATAGGCTGTATGCATGTAGATATCACCGAATTCAAACAAAATACACACCTCCATCTGAATCAGGGCCTGAAAAATATTCCAAAACATCCAGGGCAATAGAGATTATTTCCAGGATATTTGGTCATTTTAATCAAATTCCAGGTGTTTCAATGACTGGAAAACTGGTCTTTAAATTTCAAGGTTGTTCCAGGTCTCCAGGATGTGTGGGAACCCTGAACTTCCATGGATGGAGAAAATGATATCGCATTTGGATTTTGAATTAACAATAGACCTTTTTCACAGCAGCCATTTTGACATGAAATAGTAAATACAGGTGTTACTAATGATACTGATTAAGGTTCGGTTCCATTCAGGTCAGCGTGCTGCTGTTGTGCATGTTGACAGAAAGGTTCTGCTACACTAAATGGAACAGAAGCTTAATTAGTATCATTAGTAACACCTGTGTTTACCCACTATCTCATGTCAAAATGGCTGCTGTGAAAAAGGTCTATATTGAGCAGGGCAGGAGTTATTACTGGCACCAAGTTCCTGTCCTGTTTTGGGGAATTAGTTTGAATAACCAGAGGAACACAATGTCAACTTAATGGAACACAATGTTGGGATAACATTTACAAACTGATCAGTTGAATTAATTAATACATAAATGTGAAAAGAAATTGAAAAAGACTGACTATCGTCCTGTTGGATGACCCCATGTCTCTCCAGGAGACAAACAAACAAACAAATAAACAAACAGTGCTGGCTGCTTCTTCTAAATTCTTGTCAAACTCACCCTCAGAAAGATCCATATAGGCAAGGAAGGCTCCGTGTACTTGTTCACTGTCCCCAACCTCCAGATTCTTCATTTGCTGATACTAAAAGAGGAAAACAACATTGTTTATTGGTTTATTGGAAGATGTAGCAGCAGACCTGGGGATGCAGACCCCGGGTCCTCTGACACTCACCGCTGGATGCTGAAGGATCCAGTTCGGGGGCGGAGGTCTGTCTGACCCCGCCGCTCTGCCCGACTCTGACGACATTTTAAGTATTAAACCTTTCTAATAACTCTGAATACTGTCTCATTAACTACAGACTAATGTCAGGACATACTGCTGCTGTCACCGCATGGGTCCTTTTTAAGTTTTGGCAGCGTGCTACAGTGTAAATCGTCCGGGTGGAAAATGTTACTCACTCCTGTTTTCCGCGCCGCCTGTCGGACTGGAGAACTGCAGCTGCCTTACAGACTCAACTCAGGGCAGAGAAACACCATATACACACAAAACAATATAGCATTATGGTAAACCTCTTCAGCAGTAGTGAATGTAACTAGGAACATTTACTCAAGTACATAAGGACGAATTTGAGGTAGGCCTGCTTCTGTTTCCGTTTATCTCAGAGGAAAATACTGTACTTTTTACTCCACTACATTTGTCTGACAGGTTTAGTTACTAGTTACATTTCAGATCACATTTTTTCAGACACCTTCTGTCCAGTGAAAACCACATATCTCTATAGATAAACTGAAGGGTTTAGTGTTTCTTTACCTTCAAACTACTGTTCAATTAGCTGGAAAGTGCATTGTCATTGTAACTGTTTTCTGAGTTCATGAAAAGTTGACTTTTCAGTGATGCATGATTTGATACATTTCTGTAGATCAAACTACAGTGTACAAAATAATAAAGAATAGCTTAACCATACACATCTACAGCAGTAAAAGGCAACAGACACATTAATGCTGCAGTAAACCAAAAACATCATATATAATAGCAAAACACTGACAGGGACAAATGTTCTATTGACTGTCTCATATCTGTCTCTCTCTCTGTCTCCCTCCCTCTCTCTCTCTGTCTCCCTCCCTCCCTCTC